ACTCTAGCAGTACAGCAACCCCTATTATAGTTCGGCAGTCGCCCAAAAACTGCCTGATGACATTGTTAAGCCCCACCCTGCCAACTGCTAACAATGTTCACACCCACCTCCTTATACCTGAGACAATATTCAGCCCCGTCACCGCATATTCTCTGACAATGTTTGCCACCATAACCCAACCACGAGCAATGTTTACCTCCCATCCTGAAAGTGTACATCCCCTCCCAACAATATTTATCACCAGTACTCAGAGCTCATCTCCTGTCCTGCACCTTCTTTCCGAAGCTGAACACATAACCCCTGATTCCTGTATGGCCAATGTCAGGAGACGTCGTCAGTGATATGTGGGGAAGGGGTGACAAAATGTAGCATGAGCTAGACCTGGCCCAGAAGCGAAGTGATACTGCGATTCTTAATGACAAGAGACAATTTCACAACACTGAATGTGACAAGCATACACCAGGCACTGTTCAGTGTTGAAGAATTCCAGTCCAAACAAGGTCAAGCTGACCCCCAGCTAATGTTTAATGCCACTGCTGGTTTCAGAGCAGAAACCACAATGTGGAAGTTTGGCTCTCTTCCAAATTCTCAGAGAAAACCAGCAGCACTCTTACAGTACGGAATTTTTCTACGCTACAAGTACATGGCTGTAATTTTATGCCTCCGCTGGTTAACTGATGGCCATACACATAATTTAGCCCACATAATCTACAAACTTAAAATGTCACTTTATCTTCTGCAAAACATGCAGTACAAGCACACCATTAGACTATTGCTTTATCATTATTTCCTGTTGCCTACTAGTTTACAACGTGCAACTATGATTTATTGCCCATCTTTCTAAGACATAGAAAGTATTAAAATCCTGGCTTTCCATTTGTGGACCAAGCCTTGATTTTTAGCTTGTTCAGTAGCACAAACGAGATAGCGTACTCTCAGCAATCTCCATTGTGACCTACAGTATTTTTGATTTGCCATTAGTGTATTTCACTAAAGGCTGCCTGATTAATTTCACAGCATTGACCATTATTGGAAGGGAAATGCTTGTTAACGGTGATTAACATAATATAGTGCCAGTCATATTCTTTAGGATTTAAGTCAGTAGATAATTGATGATTGAATTGAATGGCTGTGTAAATTCAGTGCAACAGATTTAAGTTCATTAAAAGAATGTTTAACTTTATTGATTGTACAAAAATAATAATACATTATGATTATTTGCCCTGAGTAATTCTAAATTTTGAACAGAAATCAGAATATAAAACTTGGATATGAGGTTTAGTGAAGCCTTAGGCTATGAATGCTTGATAGCTTAATTGATAAATTTTCTTCAGTTTTAAGCTCAGTGGTTCCGGAGAACAGAGTACTTGAGAGATGTTTCCTGACAAATATTTGAAAAAAAAAACTGCAGTATAGTTCAAGGGTCAAGGGTGAAATTCTCCTCCAGGATTTGACGCAAAATTAGGTAAGGTCATTGAAATAACTCCAAGGAGGCCGGTATCCTGTCACCAAGTTACCCTTTATTTACATGTGCACAGGACACTGGCTCTGAACAACCGGCTCAGAGCCAGTCCCTAGAATGAAGAGACTCTCTGACACTCCTGTTTATTTCTGTCAGCCAGGGCTCCCTGATTGGCCCAGATTAACAAGCCCAATCAAGGATTTCATAGTTAATGAGATCACCCTGACCCTGATTCCAAATGCTATAGTCATTGAGAGGTTCGTAAACTTTCAGTGGGATTTCTTTGTCCCCTCAGCACTACTTACAGCTAGTGTAGAGGCAGTAGCTGTATGTTAATGAGGGTGTGGACCAAGACCATGTAAATTTCTCTTCTTTTCATCCATTCCCAACACTTCCTGAAACTGCCATGTGACAGATCCGAACATTCTAGCATTGTAACCGCCATCTGTTTCAGCAGTTAGCCTCAGTAAGGACCTCAGTAGGATCAAGTAGCATCAAGGACTCCAAGCAACATTGAAGTCCATAGGAATGAGGAGAAAATGTTCTGCCTCGTGTAGTCATAGCCTACACAGAGAAAGATGGTTGTGTTCGTTGGAGATCAATCATTACTGGCCCATTATTGCAGGAATTCCTCAAGGTAGTGTCCTAAGTCCAGCCTTCTCCAGTTGCTTCATCAATGACCTTACCTCAGTCAAAAAGTTAGAAGTAGCATTGTACACTGATGATTGCACAGTGTTCAGCACCATTTGCAACTCAGATACTGAAACAATCTGTGGAAAAATCTGGACAATTTCAGGCTTTTTTTGATAAGTGACAAGAATATCTACATCACATAGGTGCCAGCCAATGGCCATTTCAAACAAGAGAGAATCTAACTATTATCTTTTAACATGCAATGGCATTGCCTCACTAAATTCCCAACTGTCAATACATTGGGAGTTATCATTGACCAGAAACTGAACTGGACCAGCCATATGAATATTGGCTGCAACAGTAGGTAAGAGTCCTGGATTTCTGCAGCTAGTAACTCACCACCTATCTCCCCAAAACCTGTCCACCATTTACAAGGCAGAAGTTAGGAGGGTGATAGAATACTCCACATTTACCTCAATGGGTGCTGCTTCAATAACACAAGAAGCTCAACACTAGCCAGGACAATACAGTCTGCTTGATTAGCACCCTATACAGCAACACAGCATTCACTCCCTGGTCCACTGATTGCAGTGTGTACCATCTACAAATTGCACTGAAATAACTCACCATGGCTCCTTCAACAGCACCTGCAAAATCCACGACCTCTACCACCTAGGAAGACAAGGGCAGCAGGACATCACCATTTCCAAAACTCCCCTCCAATTTACACCATCCTGATTTGGAACCATATCGCCTTCACTGTTGTAGGGTCAAATTCCTGTTTTTCCTGAATGGAAAATAAATATCAGCTTCGTCTGTGATGCCTACGTCACATGAGTGATTTTTTTCGAAAAATCAATACTTCTCACTTTTGTGCCTGCATGGAGGTCTTGACCTTAACATCCTTAAGATGGTAGAAGGAGTTAAACCACTTCCAAGGGAACAACTGATTCAAAAATATATTTGATGACCAACTAGTCAAGGCACAACTAGTAGAAGATTTCGTTGGACGACTTAGACTTGTGGCAAAACCCACAAAAGAAGAAATGATCTATTGAGATTGTTCATGTAAGCATAAGAAAATTGTTTCTTACTGTCAAAGAAGTTTGTGACATTTCATTGGAAATGTTTTCCATTCCTATCATCACTGAAGAGCCTTCAGATAACACAAATCAGCAAAGTTTGCAGAAGAAGCTCGAAGTACTGGGATCAGGAATGTGTAGTATAACCGACTTGAGCTCATTGATGAATCTTAAGTTGTTCAGACAACACAGCAGGCTGCTGAACCAACTGATTCAACTCTGATGCTTGATGTTCAGCCAGCAAGTTCAAGAGTAATGTTTTGGTCCTTTATCTTTCAAAGAAAACAATCCGTGCCAGTGACAAAAATAATACTAAGTAAGCAGCAGTTCTCCAGTAACATGATTGAGAATGTGCAAATGTCTAGTTCTTCAGGAATACATCCATGGAGGGCAAATGAAAAGTGGGAGATGTACCAGTTCAGAATAATTAAACTGGTTCATTGATAGATCATTTGCATTAGAATTTCAAACCTTCAATAGAGGGCTGGACCAATTTTACCCTTGACTGGAAATTATGCTGCACAAAAGTTGAACAGAACAATAAATTGCATAACTGTGGTCAGTGTTCTCTTGACTACTTTTATTACTTAAATGGCTTAGAAAGGTATCATATCTTCATATATTTGCCTTTTATTTAAAAGTCTGTTTTTCTGTCTCCTGGACTCTATAGAGTATTGTAAATCATGCCACTTGATTTCACCTTGACTCTATCACAGCTAACCAGCTGATCTTCATATCGTAAAGTTAATGGATATTTAATTTCTTGGTTCTTGTAGATTGTTCTTTTTGAATGTTGGTGTTACATGTGCTCCCTTTTCAACCCTTGTAAGTAATATCAGAAACTAGCAAACAAATGTTTAGGCAATGCACGCGTGGTTCACCGCACCCTTTTTTTTTAGTGGTTTCAAGTACATGCTGTGAGGATCAGTTTTGAGATCTTTCATTCCTTAAATACAGCTTTAGATCCACATCCATTTTGCAACTTTCAATTAGATTCAATTTGCGATGTATTAGTATCAGTAATAGGATTTATTTTTGTATATAGTAAAGATCGACATAAAGGAGCCACTTAACACTCCTCTATATCTTAGAAGCCCATCTGAATCTGCCTTGAGTTATTCAATGGTTTTACAATGGTTTTTATTTATAGTGCTTTAACTCCTCGTGTGTGACGGAGATCTGCAAATTTTTCCATTGAATTTATAGCTGCATTATTTGTTGCCTTTATTTGACTTTGTTATCTGATGTGCTCTTCAAAGTCTCTTCATTGAGGCTGTGGAAGTAATTTTGCTCAAGTCTGTTATTTCTTGAACCTGACCCAAGAGCCAGCTTTTGGCTTTTTTTAAAGCACATGCCCTCTCCGATAAATCTCGGTATATAAGTGACCTCCTTTTTGCAATGAATTGGTTTTAAAGGCATTCTGATTAATATCCTCTTTGTGCAATTGAAATCTAGTGCTGTTTGTAAATGCTTAGCCTTTGGGAAATCTAGGTTTAACAGTGCAGGTTTGAGGCACAAGAAAACATTGAATTATTTAGTCGGGAGTTTTGGTGAATACTGGAGGGAAGAAAGTATGAACATTTTAGAATTTGACTCCCCTCCACCAACTCCCCAACCGTAGCTATAATAGATTAGTATAAGATTGTTCTAAAACAGTGTAAATTATGAATTATTTTTTGCGTAGAAACCTTCATTGACTAATTAATTAGGATTTGTACATCCCTAGGTTATGAAAGGTGATTATATCATTGAAAGTTTGTCAAATTTTTCTTCTTAACATGCTGCTTAAATACTAATGCAGCCTCTACATGTTTTTCTCTCAGGGCATTCTCTTCAGTACAACTGACTGTTTGAAAACTCCTCAAGACCTGGTCAAGCTATATCAGCATGAATCTAATCGTGTCTACAGGGATAAGATGGTGGAAGAGAAAGACTTCAGCATCTTTGATAAAATCCAGACTGAATTAGTGAACAAATTCTTTGATGTATGTACTGCAGATTAAAGGTTTCAGCAAAATATGCTTGATAATGAGGAGATCTCTGGGTATTGAAGACTTTCCTTTTCATTCATTCTGCAAACACTGCAAAACATAGGAAATTAATTTATTTAAAGCTATCCCAATGCACCCCTTCAATGTGATACCTAGCTTTGCAAACCAAAAACTTGCAAAATTTTGTTCCTCAGACGATGCTGTACCAGGTGACATCAATCAGTAAGGCAGTAAGAATGTCCAGGGATTAAATGACTAGAATGCCGCAGATGAGAGAGTAAAAAATCAACTCAGATCTGTGTTATTGATTGTTTTCAAGTGACTTCTGCTGGGAGAGTTAGATGTGTGAAAATTGGTTTTGGACTGGCTAAACTCCTCCTGACTTTGGCAGACTCACACTTAGGCTTTTCTCTTAGTGAGAGTTTAAGACTAATAGTAGCCTGTTCATTTCAATGGATTACTGCTAACATCAGAATTGTGCCAATTGGAACATCAAGACTTCACAGTCATGACTCACACGTGGGACATGAAGACATCTGATCTCTGTAGTGTTGTGAATGGGCATCCCCAGAAAAAGTGGTGAGAAAATAGAGAATTATTTTGAAGCAGATTAGATACAAACAGAAATAATTTTTAAAAATGCATTATTTGGAAACTCTACCTTGAACCTTCTTCCTGTGCACTGAGTATCTTATTAAGGTGCCCCCTCAGTGAGATAGAACATACATCTAAATGCTGGGATTTTCTGTAATGTGATCTTGGAATAGTAATCCCTCCTCCCTACCCTGACCACAACTTCCCTTGTCTAATTTCGGCAGAACTCCAGAGACACCCACAAACCCGTCGTTTTTGCGGAGAATAGTGCATGAATTTAGATGAGAGAAATTACAGGATAGGCAAAAGCAAATTTTAAAAATATGTCCGAGACATTTGTATCTTTGGTTCTTGTAAACTTGTTGCACACAACTGTCACTTCCCCATACCATCAGTTCAGCTCTACATTGTACATAGAAATAATGCAATGTGTGAGATTCAGCCAGATTCCACATTTAATTTCAGCTGCTTAGCCTGCTGTGTTCATCCAGCTCTACACCTTGTTATCTTTAATTTCAGCTGAGAAGGTTTGTTTTGTTTCTTTTCCCAATGTGATTGTTTAGGTGAACATTGGGGTAATTTTTGCTTCCATCGTTGGGCAGAAAGGTAGTGGTAGGGATTTGGATCAAAAGAAAATCACTCGATCAGCGAAGCGAGTGGCTGATTCAATATCAACTGTTTTCAGTCAGTCTCATGCTTTGTTTTCATATGGAGGTAATTATTGCTTTTGTACCTAACTTTGTGAGAGAGGAACGGTGACTGTGTACTGGTAGTGCACTAATTCGGGGAGACTAGGTTGATGTGCCAACATGCACTCTCCTTCAGCGACATAAATCTTATGTCGCTGTTTGTGTCCTTATGAAACCAAACATTTTAGTTCCACAATATTATCACTTCATCTGGTCTTCTGCCAATCTCCATTCCATATTCTCTCTCTTGCTCCAATTAGCATGACCTTTTCTATATTATTGCCTCACGCCACTCGTCCAAAGTATTTCAGCTACCATTTATCCATTCCTGATAATAGTCTGAAGTGTTTAGTGGCCCCCTATTGTAATACTCGCTTGTTTGTGAATCTGTTTCACAATAAGTCCTTCGGAAGTAGCCAAGCTAAAAAGAAAGGATTTTTTCCTGTCTACCTGCTTTGTAGTCTAACAATAAGGCCCAGAAGTGGCAATAGGATGCTGCCCATCGGAGTAAAAAAAAAACACTTCAAAAAGAAACAATGACCTTGATTTAGTGAAAAAAGCCCCAGTTCTCAAAAATACAAAGTGACTTGTGATGTTTCCTTCCTAGGATATGCAGGAGACATTGGAACAGACTAAGATTATGAACATGTACTGCCACTTTGCCTGTGGTGTTGGAGAACCCAAGTACATGCCTGTCCAGGACTGGGAGTCTCTAAACAAAATCCTGATGGAAGCTCTGGAAAATTACAATGAACTGAATGCTGCCATGAGCTTGGTGCTTTTTGAGGATGCCATGAGCCATGTGTAAGAATATACAGTCTTCTTAACATGTTTACTGACCTTCACAGTGTTAATGATGCAAAAGAAATGTAAAAAAAAGTGATCTATTTCCTCCACATTTGGTTTGTTGCAGTTGCCGGATTAACCGGATCTTGGAGTCTCCCAGAGGAAATGCCTTGCTTGTTGGCGTTGGTGGGAGTGGGAAACAGAGTCTTACAAGGCTTGCGGCTTATATCAGTTCATTAGAGGTCTTCCAGATCACTTTAAAAAAAGGCTACAGCATTCCTGACCTGAAGGTGAGTTAGAGCTGGGAGAATCTTAGTCCATTTAACACTTGCTGGCTGTCACTGAATTGAGAGAACACATAACAGCACAAAAAAGGGCATTTTGTTGGTTCCAACTCACTTTTTGCCATTGCAATCAAAGACAATTTGCACAGTCAGGGACACCTAGGGAGAGAAATAACCAGAGTATAATGTTCCAGGAAGAAAGATTCTTCACACTTCCAACTCCCACGGCAACCAAAGGAAATAAACTCTGAACATATCAATCAGACACACATGACTACAGTAGAAACATGGGTCACAGGTTTTTTAAGGTGTCTAATAGATTTTTCCGACCTTTTGGATCAAATTTCCCACTTACTTCAAAAACGTGCTTCCAATCTAAACAAAGCTGTGTACTCAAGTGACACGGATTAGGGAGAGCCCACGTTTGTGATCATAAGATTTTCCCATCTCAGAGCTGAAAAATAGTTGACAAAAGTTTCCTAGCAGGAGGGACCAGAGAGATAATCAGGCTGAGATTACACTTGGTTAGACAGTGATATCAACAGGTTGTGTGGTCATTCTTATGGCCAGAGGTGTAATCAGAGAGTGTGAAGTTGAAAGGCCATGCTTTCGTGCAGTGAGCCCTAGGGGAGGTGATGACCTGGTGGTATTATTGCTAAACTATTAATCCAGAAACTCGGCTAATGTTCTGGGGACCCAGGTTCAAATCCTGTCATGGCAGATGGTGGAATTCGAATTCAATTTAAAAAAAAATCTGGAATTAAGAATCTAATCATGACCATGAAAACCATTGCCAATTGCCAGGGAAAAACCCATTGGGCTGACTAATGTCGTTCAGGGAAGGAAATCTGACTCATGACCAACAGCAATTTGGTTGACTCTCAACTGCCCTGTGAAATGGCCCAGCAAGCCACTCAGTTCAAGGGCAGGTAGGGCCAGGCAGTAAATGCTGACCAGCTAGTGATTTCCATGTCCCACGAGTGAATAAAAGAAAATACCAGATGAGGACGCATGTCAGTATTTAGAGTCACAGCTTCATAGACATGTACAGCACAGAAACAGACCCTTTGGTCCAACTCTTGCATGCTGACCAGATATTCTACATTAATCTGGTCCTATTTGCCAGCATTTGGCCCATTATCCCTCTAAACCCTTCCTATTCATATACCTTTCCAGATGACTTTTAAATGTTCTAATTGTATCAGCATCTCCAACTTCCTCTGGCAGCTCATTCCATACATGCACCACTGTCTGGTGAAAAATTTGCCCCTCACTGCACGAAAGCATGGCCTTTCAACTTCACGCTCTCTGATTACACCTCTGGCCGTAAGAATGACCACACAACCTGTTGATATCACTGTCTAACCAAGCATAATCTCAGCCTGATTATCTCTCTGAAATCTTGCCCTCTCACCTGTGCCCTCTAACTTTGGATTCCCCTTGCCTGGGGGAAAAAACCTTGGCTATTCACCCTGTTCGTGCCCCTCATGATTTTATAAACTTCTGTAAGGTTCTTTCACCTTGTCACCAGCATAATTCTCTCAGAAGGAAGAAGTGCTCCAACCCCTTCCATGCCAACATCCGTCACCCCCACCTCTAACATCTGACTCCGAACATGATGGAAAACCAGTTGCACCATTTCTATAACATGTTTGAACAAATTTCTGTCAAGGGAGTGGAATAATGGCAGGAACTCCCAAATTAGTAAGCCGCCATTCCTTTTCCTCATGTGAGATTCAGCTATATAATAGAAGTTGGCATACCTAGTGAGGTGACTGAACATAAAAGCAAAATACTGCATATGCTGGAAATCTGAAACACCGAAAATGCTGGTGAACTTCAACAGGTCTGGCAGCACCTCTGGAGACAGAACTAGAGTTAATGTGTCAAATCTGATATGACTCTTCATCAGAGCGAGAACTTCTGAAGAAGAATATGAAAGTAAATTGTTATTAGTAAGTAATCTGATAGACTAGAACTTATTCATAGGGTGTACAAATCCCCCAATTATATTCACAGTGCTCTGTAACAATATTTGATTTAATTAAAAAAAGTTTTGAGAACAGGTTTTGCATGACGGTCAATCATGTAAAATATGAAATCTGTTTAAAACTGTACCCTATATCTTGGGAGTATTTGGAGTAAGTAATCTCTTTTTAAGGATCAAGTGGTACAACTGTTGAGTGAGCGAGCTGAGTTGTTAATGGTATAGCTGCCAATCTCAGGCTGTGCCAAGTGCTCAAAGAATCGACATCAGGGAATTAGATGTTATACTTTCTCCTGTTCAATCTACCTGTCACAAGCATGACAAAATTTGTAGAAGTTAATGCAACGCAGTCATTGTGAAAACAAGGGCATCCTACAGCATGTAGAGCAATAAGTATCATTTTGCTAAATTGTACAGACTAGCAGCAGATCCTGTAAACCAGAACTGGGCATTAATCAGCAACAGCATTGGCACAATACTGCAGTCTGTAACTCCATGGACTAATATCAAGCCAGGAAGTCAATCTCAGTTCAACTGGGGGGAAAGGTGGAGTGGGTGTAGAAAGTCTTGCCAATAGCAGCACCAAGCATGCATTGGAATGAGTCATTAAGATGATGAAACAGAGGAGCAGTTGCATTCTGCAACGCATTAAGTTATGACAGACTAAGTTGTCCCACAACCGATGTATCACAGTGAAGCAGTATAATCCCAAACAATTGAGAAGCATGGGTGACAATCATGCAATGTGTAGCAAAGAGCTTTCCATACATTCCCATCCTCGGCTAATGTGTGTGAAAGATAAAGGAAAAATGTATAGAACTATGTTTTGCTTTTAAATAACTCGCATGGCATGAATTACAAGGGCCAATCGAAAAGAAAGCAAAATACAAAGAAAACTCTTTTTGGGAATCCAGACCATTGCCCCATGCTGGACCCCGACTCTTCCACTCATAACTTTTACGCAAGGCTGGCACATTTCAAATTATTGGACTGTAGACCTCCAGAGATTCACCAGCTCCTGATTGACCCAAGTCAGTAGAAAGTTCTTGTGTAAGCATTTCCTGCTGCTGGTAGCATTTGCTTGCTAAGGGTTAGAACCTCCATATTGACCAAAAAGTGATTTTGTCCCTTACCAGGCAAATCGGAAACACTCCCAAATAAAATCAGACACTGCTGTAATTTTATACACTCCCTGTGGATTTTTGGGTCCAGAAGTATTTGAGAGAATTTGCTAAGTTGAACTGAAGTAGCTGTTAGAATAATTTGGTTTAATGGCTGAATGCTTTGTGCGTCTATTTTGGAGGGAAAATTGACAAAGTTGAACAACTAATACCTAAAACCTGCTGTAATCTGTCTGATTTTTTTGACAGTTTTAGAATAATTTTGAGATGCAATAAATCACAGTGGTAATGATCACTTTCAGACAGTTGCTGGCCTTTTCTCTCTTGAGAGAGAGAGAGAGATGACCCACCGAAGTGAAACTGTCAGAGTCAGTCAGATGGTGATATTTCGGATCATCAGTTTCCAGTATTAGTGGACAGGAGGTATCAGTCATCATTTTTGAGGTACTGTAGTTTATGCATTAGATTAAGTCCAGAACATGATGTTCAGTTGGATCTCAGTGTAAACAATGTCCATTTAGTATGATAGATGTTTGAGCTTTAGCAGTGGAATGAAATATGATTCAACTCCCCTCAGCCTTATTCAGGGCTGACCACAGCCAAATGAATAATGCTAAAATTTTTTTTTTTGCCATTTCTTGCAATTTGGGTATGCAAAGAAATGCTTCAATGACGTGTCTCTCTTTTCAGCAAAAACCAAGTTTTTTGCTACCAACCAATAGTGCCATTGGCAATAAATAGGAGAAGTGAATATCAGTTGACAATAGGAACTGACTCAGCTGCATCAGGCAGCTGGTCTGTCAACATGCAGGCTAACCCACAATGAATTACCTCACATCAGTGCGATGTGGGTCATCGGTACTCATGTAGTCATATCCGAACATTGGGACAGATACAATGAGGAGAAAGAAAATGGATTCTCATCATATGAAGGAGTAAGAAAATTTTGAATGTCTGGGATCGGCTATCTTGTAAATCATTTCATAGTCTGAAACTAGTGCAGTGAGAGTTGAATAGAGTGGCTTGGATTTCATAGACCCTTGTGAAGCAATAGTGCTCACTGCTGACATTGAAGAAATCCTCCCACTGCAATTTTGCAGTTTGCTGGACTGTAGATTTATATTTTCTGGACAGTATTTGAAATGAAATGCCAACTGAAAGGGATCTGCTGGTATAGAGTGCTGGTAGCAATCTGTGTAATTTGCCAGTTATATTTCTGTATCTTCACAGGTGGCAAACTAGGAAGTAAAACCTACTGAATCTCTTTCGGATCAATTTAAGATTTCTAGACAGCAAAATAAATGATTAAAGTGATGCATGTACCCTGATGAGAACTGTCTTATCTCGCTTAGAGCAGAAATGGGATGGAATCACTATTTATTCACTTGCCCTCATGCAAGGAAATATCAGTCAGCTGTCCTGTTTCAGAGATTTCTCAGCAAGGTGACTAGCTAACTGTTTAAAAAAAACCCAGAATACTGCAGATGTTGCAGATCTGAAACAGAAACAAAGTGCTGGAGGAACTCAGTGGGTCTGGTAGCTTTTGTGCAGAGAGAAGTATGGAGTTAATATTTTGCTCTGTGGATTCCAAGCAACAGTCATTTTGCACTCAAAATGTTAATTTTGTTTTTGTCCCCACAAATGTCGGCAGACCTGCTGAGCTTTTTCAGCAACTTTGTTTTTGTTCCTGATTTACAGCATCCACAGTTCTTTTGGTTTCTACAAAGTTTCTCAATGTTTTTTGTTTTTATTCATGACTGGTTCATTGTATTTGAGTGGAAGTGACAAGAGACAGGTGTAGGAGGTGCTGGGAGGCAGGGGAGAAGGAGAGATTCATTCTTAGAGAGTCAGAAAGGGCTGAGAGTCTCCATGATTGAATAGGTTCATGGTACATAGAA